TAAACATAGTTATCATAATTTAACGAGGGTCTCTCACCCTAAAAAGATAATTTTAGTTTAAACTTTGAAAATGAAAGGAATCTCAAAATCCTGTCATTTAAGTTCAGCTGTCAAAACAAAGGGCGGCGCCATGTTGGCTGTGTCGCCGGACGTGACGTCAGCGGAGTGGTTGGTTGTCAAGCTAGCGATCGCAGTGAGGAGCAGAGATTACACAATGACAGACAAAGACCAGCCGACAGGAAAGCGAGTTAAGGGAGGCATGTTTTGCATTGCCCCTGGATGCACAAATGAATTTTACAGAGTGAAAGACCGGGAGAAGACTGTACACTTCCATCATTTTCCACGACAACCACTTGCTCTCCGATGTTGGCTAGCAGCAATCAAAAGGATTGGTAATGCTAGCATTTGTAGTGAGCACTTTGTAGATGAAGACTACCTGGAGGAAAGGTTTTTTGATGAAGCAAGAGTACTGGTGACTCGTAGAAGCAAAAGGTTGAAACCAGATGCTACTCCCTCTATTTTTAACTTTTCTGCCTATAATGATCGGTCTACAGACTGTCCCACACAGTCCACTTCAGAAGTGGCTGTGCGCCGTAAGGAAAGAGCCAAACGGCGCACCCAGTTGACAGTTCAGAGAGAGGTAAATACACGACAAACATCCCAGTTTAGCTCAGTTCAAATGTTCCACAGCCCAGTTCTCAATCACGATCATCCCCTCAATCACTGATATGAGCTGTCAAGTCTCCCGTTTTGGCCGGGAAACTACCGTATTTTATCCCTCTTTCCCGCCGTCCTCCCATATTAGTATTTCCCGTAAACCTCCCGTATTATAATAACATAATAACCCTGTATTATAACGTAGGAATGTTCACAGCATTTCAATGTCAACAAAGGTAGGCCTATCAGATTCTGATNGCTGTGCGCCGTAAGGAAAGAGCCAAACGGCGCACCCAGTTGACAGTTCAGAGAGAGGTAAATACACGACAAACATCCCAGTTTAGCTCAGTTCAAATGTTCCACAGCCCAGTTCTCAATCACGATCATCCCCTCAATCACTGATATGAGCTGTCAAGTCTCCCGTTTTGGCCGGGAAACTACCGTATTTTATCCCTCTTTCCCGCCGTCCTCCCATATTAGTATTTCCCGTAAACCTCCCGTATTATAATAACATAATAACCCTGTATTATAACGTAGGAATGTTCACAGCATTTCAATGTCAACAAAGGTAGGCCTATCAGATTCTGATCACCAACCCACTAACCCCTATAACACTGGTGACAAACTGCACAGGATGAAAGTACAGTCACACCCCCACAATAAGACTACTACTACTCCTGCAGTTCCCAAACTTTTTTGCGCAATGAACTGGTTTCATGTAAGACAATATTTTCACGGACCGGCCTACAATGTGTGGCAGATAAACACGGCGAAATAAAATGATACGACCGGCATGAAAACAAATGTAAAATGCACAAAAAATATAACTCACCATAACGCTGAATCAGTAGGAGCCCTGAGCTTATTTCTCTGCAAAAATACGGTCCCGTCTGGGGGTAATGAGCAAGAATGACACCAGAGGTTCTCTAAAGACGTTTACTATTATTGTTACTCACTTTCACTAGCATGTGGGTGTAATTTTGGGGTAATGAATCACGTGACCGAGACAAGCGCTTGACATGTGTCCAGTTCCACTAGCACTTCTCCCCCATGTAGCCTACACTATTTGGATTTGTCCTCATCAGCTGATCAGCCACATGCTCTCCTCATCATCCGATTGTGCCGGGGTATTTAAACCCCCCTGCTTACCTGATCATTGCGAAGAAGATGATCATTCCTGGCTATTCTGCTGTTGTGTGCTGCCTATGAAGATTTTCAATCCCACCACCTCCCCAGCATCCACCTGGGGCTCTGTTTCTATGATCCCCAGCAGGGGTCTGCTATTCATTCCCTGTCATGGAGATCATTTTCAGGGAATGAATTAATTGACACGGTCTGTCGCAAAACTTACTTCCGTCGTGATAAAATTATTCATGCTCTACTTCTGAATGCAAAATAATTATGCTCAATAAAAGATACTGATTTCAATTCTGAGTTGTCTGACTGAATAGTGGTCATATTGATTTATTGGTTTGTCCAAATATGTTACACAGGAAAGAGAGGAACTTGTTTAATTTAAGGATGAAGTCTTTTGTACATTATTTTATACCATAAATGCACTAGCATATCTCACCATATTTATATATTACAGAACTACCTGTCAAATTAAAATTAATAAGCGAGTCCAATCCATGTTCTTTCATCAAGCCAATTAAAACCCCGGCTGTACCCATCATGTCTTTTTTTCACTATTGTAAACAGTTTAACAAAGCAAGTTGGTTAATTTGGTTGACATTGCAATGATTACTCTTGATTAATTTATGGTAGCTGATAAAATTATGCTACTTAAAGAAAACTGAGATGACATCTTGAAGTGCAGTTTCATAAGAATAACATTTTAATAATAATAAAACATTATGTTTCCTAAATAACTTTTCTAAACTACATTTTAAGTAGGTTAAAAAACAAAACAAAACAAAACAAAACAGCATGCAATTAATATAATTCCAAACAGAACATCAAGGTGTTGAGAGGCAGGAGGTAAAGTCTGCACCCTTTCTTGAAGCCATAAAGTGTATTTCAGATAATGTTGTGATCCTACTTGGAAAAAGAAAATTGGAAAACATATTTACAAAATCATGCCCAGCAATAGGCTTACAAGCTTGATGGTGGCAGAGTGATGAACCATTCAGTTTTATAAACACCAATAAATAATTAACTCTCTCTATGCATTGAATTAACATCATCTTATGTCATGGTCTGGGTGAATACTCTTTTCTGTGATTGGCTCACAGGTGTGCATCAAAACCGTTTACTCACACATAGTCTGACTCAATTTTGACTTTGATGAAACCATAGTTATAAGTCACCAGCAGCACAAATCAGAGACAACTCCTACTCTGGGCACAACTCCGTGAAACAGTGGAGACCAACGGATGAGGATTGGAGGATTCAGCTGGGTCAATCTAGGAGAAGGTTGTCTGCCACAGTCTCTACCTTGCAGCTCTCCCTCTGTGGTCATTGTCTTTGCCCAACCCATTCAGCATGTTGTGATTGATCAACCTTAAGATGTGAAAAATGAAAAAAAAGAGAAGGCATTATTATATTAAATATATTTGTCTTTTGTTGTGACAGTTAAGGCAAAAAGTCGCAGCATGACAGACAGGGAGAGAGAGATGATCCGTGTTGAGGAGGAGGAGGAGGTGCAGCAGCAGCAGGAGGAGGCTCAGAATAACAGTCAGTGTGAGCACCCAGACTGATGAAGAAACTGCAATTACTAAAGAGTACAGCAATACAGGCACAGTGACAGACAACATCCTATTCAGCAGCTACATTATCCATGATCATCGTTACAGCAAAACAGTAGACTGCATACCTCCATCACTACCACCACCAACTGAGTTGAGTGACGATGAAACCGCGTTGAGTGTTGAAGAAATGGAGGGGTCTGAGGCGTGCAGCATGGAGGAGGGACTGGATGAATATGATGAGGATGATGAGTTCAGATTGAGTGATGCCAACAGCATGAGTGATGAGTGTGTGAGTGATGTGGAAAATGAGGTCTCAGCGAAGGACATGAGCATCATGTCAAACAAAGAAGTTTTAAAGCTCTTCAATGTGTGCCACTGGGAGGGTTGTGGCAAGTGTATTGTCCAGCTACCAACTTTAAAAAAATGTGGATTTGGAGTACAGATCAAAACAGAATGTATTGACAGTCATGACTATGTCTTCAACTCTCAGCCTCTTGTGAGAGGAATGATTGAGTGTAACCTCAGTATCCCAGCCACTACCTTAGCCAGTGGCAATGAGAGCACTCCATTTCTGGAGATCTGTGAAGCCATTGGTCTGCAAACCATTTCAAGCAGAGAATGGTTTAACATTCAGAAGGCCTACATTATCCCCGAGATAAATGATTTGTGGACAAAACACAATGAGGCTGTGCTGGCTGCATTACAAGATCAGCCACTTCTTGTCTCTGGAGACGGTCGATATGACAGCCCTGGCCACAATGCAACATTTGGCACTTACACAGTTCTGGATACCAAATCAAACTTGGTGGTGGCACAGGAGACTGTCAAGGTCACAGAGGTCAAGAGCAGCTACTGGCTGTAGGTTGAGGGTCTGGAAAGGTGTCTGTCCAAGCTTGCAGAGTGTGGTGTGCAGGTCTCTGTTATTGCCACCGACTGCCACCCGTCTGTGCAGAAGGTTCTGCGAGAGAAACACAAACAAGTGCAGCATGAATATGACCTGTGGCACATTGTCAAGAATCTGCGGAAAAAAATACTGGCGACCCACAATGAGGAGCTATATGAGTGGACAAAAATGATCACAAACCACCTGTGGTATTGTGCAAGCACCTGTGAAGGAAGCGCAGCCAGGCTCAAGGAGAAGTGGACATCCATCCTTCACCACATCACCAATGTCCACAACTGGACATGTGGTGAAATGATGACCCGATGTGAGCATCGTCCATATACTCCAGAAGAGGAGAGCCTGCGGCCCTGGCTTTGTCCAAACTCTGCTGCCTTTGAACACCTGCAGAAGATTGTTCTTGACAAGGCAATTTTGCAAAAGCTAGAGAAGACGACAAAGGGCATTCACACAGGTTGGGATGAAACAATAATCAGTTTAGTGATTACCATGATAACATTTCTGATGGTTAAAAGTACCATATCAAATTTGAACTATCACAACAATGGTATATGATTATGGTGCCGTTATAAGCACAGTAAAAAAAAATTCCCTGCTTCTACCATGATTATGTCATGGATGTTATTTTGCTGATAAATGTTTATGCAAACAAAAATGCATAGTGATCCTAATTTAATTAGAGTTATCAATACAAAAGCCAAATGATTTCAGTGAGTGCCTCAACACTTTTTTTNCTCCAGAAGAGGAGAGCCTGCGGCCCTGGCTTTGTCCAAACTCTGCTGCCTTTGAACACCTGCAGAAGATTGTTCTTGACAAGGCAATTTTGCAAAAGCTAGAGAAGACGACAAAGGGCATTCACACAGGTTGGGATGAAACAATAATCAGTTTAGTGATTACCATGATAACATTTCTGATGGTTAAAAGTACCATATCAAATTTGAACTATCACAACAATGGTATATGATTATGGTGCCGTTATAAGCACAGTAAAAAAAAATTCCCTGCTTCTACCATGATTATGTCATGGATGTTATTTTGCTGATAAATGTTTATGCAAACAAAAATGCATAGTGATCCTAATTTAATTAGAGTTATCAATACAAAAGCCAAATGATTTCAGTGAGTGCCTCAACACTTTTTTTTAAACAGTACACAATTAAACAATACAGTAATACAAATGATAACTGTGATAATTTTGGTCACAATAATTGCAATATGAAGTTTTCATACCGTTTCATCTTTATGCACAGGGCAGCTTGAGAGTGTACACTACTCCTTGTACACAAAATATGCCACCAAGAGGAAGAAGTTTCTCAGGGAGAGCTTTGAGGCCAGGCTGAAAACAGCTGCACTGGACCACAACCTCAATGTCAGCAGAGCCACTGCAAAAACAAATAAAGGCCAGGAGCAGTTCAAACAGCAGTATTCTAAAGGTGCAGGAGAGTATGTGGTGACAGCAAGGAAAGTCAAGAAAGACTGTACCTTTAGGGAAGACATTGTGTCCGGTGTGTTGCGCAGGGCCGAGGCTGCATCCATACGTGCAGAACTCCAACAGCACAAAACAGAGACAACATGCACCCTGGCCCAGCACAAAGGGGTTGAGAAACCTGAAAAGGCTCAATCTGTGGCAAGAAAGCTCAGCCGCTTTGCACCGCTGCTGCCCCATGAAGCTCCCTGAAAAACACAGGACACTGAACAGTTGCAGGGTGCTTAAGTGAAACAAACTGAGCAAGTTAGTTATCAGTTAAGTTAAGTAGTTAAGTTAAGTTGTTAAATTGTTTAATGCTGCAGTGAGATAGATGACATGATATTAAATTATCCATTTATTCTATAAAAAAATAAGTTAATTCTTTGTTACTCTGATCACTTTACAGGAGACAAAATTACTACTATCCTACAATTAATGTTCATTGATAAAAAAATGTGAGCACTGACTTGTCTCTGTAATTTACAATTTTTATTTGCATGATATGACAGAACAAAACCAAACAAATCCATATCTCATTTCAATACTAACCGACATTAAAAGTCATCATTGTCCCAATATTCAAAGCCGTGGTATTCCGGAGATGGGAAAGCAGTCCTGATGATGTTCACCACACATGCTGGAATAGGCAACCTGTTCCTCCTCCCAAGGTGTCCTCTGGCCCATAAAGTGAACTGTCTGTATGCAGTTAACCTGAACAGACTGACAAAAAGAGTTGTCTATTATTTGTTGGCCTAAACAAGTTATATTGTATGACATTACATGGAAAAACACGTGCTGTATCATAATGTATATCTCGTATCTCAGCCCATTCAACTTATAGCTACATTCAATCACATTTACTCGTTTATTACCAGTTGCCGTAACAGTTAAGTTATTTTCATACATCTTCATTAAATGTTAAACGCACTTCTTCTTATGTTAAGTTGTATATCAAGGTTTAAGTAATTATCTTTGGAGTGACAGTAATGCATGAAAATGTGGTTCAAGCCAAGGAAATTAAACAAATTGAAGCCTGGCAACATTAGTGTGTTTGACCTGCTAACTAATAAGCATGCTAACGGCGCCAACAGTTGCATGCTAATGCTAATGTTCGTAACATTAGCATGCTAACAGCTGCATGCTAACGTTGGTAAAGTAGAATAAACTGATGAGATATAACGTTAGTAACGATGGATAATATCAGACAGACTGCTTTTATCTGACAGACAGCGACTGCTGCTATTTAAATTACCTTACAACAAATAGCATCAACTTTTAGGTTAGCTTTAACCCACCTGCTGTTTATAGGCCGCTCCAATCTCTGCACGGACTTCACGCAGGGATAGCATAGACACCTCCAAGACGTCCCTCTCACAACAGAGCATCTGGAAGGTGCGGGATAGGGTTATGCAGGACAGCTCCCCTAACCTACAATCCACATCAGCTTCACGGCAACAGATGGACTCCACGGTGGTCGGCATTGCGGAGCCGTGCCCACACATGCACCAAGCAGTGTTGCCGACCCTCTCCTGGCTGCCATCCTCGTCCGGAGCAGCTGCAGCCGCCTCCTCCTCCGCGAAATTGTAAATTTCCACCCTCCTCCTCCTCGTCACTGGCTCAAAGGCATAGGCCATTGGGTTTGGTGATAGATTAATAACGTTATCTCTTTCGGCTTCTTTTCTCTCTGTAAATTTCGGTAAAACTACTGCTCTTCTACTTCCTCCGCCTACAGACACAGTGTCGTGAAACCAACCAACCACTCCGATGACGTAGGCAGTGACGTAAAATAAAGATGGCGCTGAGCACGGGCCGAAATGTATCGTAAATGCATTTAAAAAGTGGATTTTCTCTAAAATAGGCTGACTTTTCCGATTTTTTATTTCGTCAGTATGTCTTAATAATGCACACATCTCCTATGCTGGTGTCTGTTCCGTTTGTTTCATGTCCTCTTTAAAGACATGTTCAAATATGTGGAGCCCAAAAAAATCTTGTTGGGCAGAGATGAGAACAGGACAGAGAGGTGTGCCTATTATATTCTTGTGTTAAAATCTTTAAAGGGTATGCTGGAGTCCGGTTTTTGGCAGGGCCTCATGTCAGTGGATCCTAATAATGTTTCCAAAACAGATGTTCTCTCTGACAGTTGTGATGGTAAGGTGTTTATGTCAAACACATTTTTTCAGGAAAACCCAAGTTGTCTTAAGCTGGTTTTATACCAGGATGCATTTGAAGTTGTGAACCCATTGGGTTCTGCAAAAAAGAAGCACAAGGTTTTGGTTGTTTACTTCTCTCTACTCAACATGCCCCCCCATGTACGATCAAATGTTGACCACATGTAGCTGGTTTTATTGTGTATAGAGAAGGATTTTAAGGAATTTGGCCATGCCAAGGTTTTTTCTGAACTGCTTACTGACCTGAAAGAACTGGAGGGAAATGGGATAGCAATGGGAGATGAACTTGCAGTCAAGGGAGCTCTCTACTGCATTGCTGGGGACAACCTGGGCTCTCACACCATTGGTGGTTTCACAGAAAATTTCAGTTCATCTCAGTACTTCTGCAGATATTGTCTGATTTCTCGAACTGAATTTCAGGGTGCTGATCCTAACATCTGTGGACTGGAGCGGACTCCAGAAATGTACAGATCTGCCATTGAACAGCTGGAGACAGAGCATGCTCCACAAGTACAAGGGATAAAGTTCAGGTCAGTATTTAATACTCTACAAAACTATGATGTTTGTTCACCTGGCATGCCCCCCTGTCTCTGTCATGACATCTTCGAGGGTGTCCTGTCATGCTATGTTGCTCTTTACCTCAAGTACTTCATCAACAAAAAGAAATGGTTCACATACACAATTTTGAACAGGCGAATCAAGCAGTTCAAATACAAAGTAACAGATGCTTGCTCCAAACCTTGTGAGGTCAGTCCTCAAACACTGAAACTGAGTGGACATGCTGTTCAAAATTGGAATTTCTTGAGACTGTTGCCTCTGATAATTTGAGACAAAGTGCAGGACCCCCAAGATAATTTGTGGCAGTTAATTTTGCAGCTTAAGGACATTGTTGACCTGATTTGTGCTCAGCAAATTTCCATGGCACAGGTCGCCTATCTGGATGTTCTCATCCAAGAATATTTGGAAACCAGGAAGGCACTATTTCCAGATATGAACTTGAGACCTAAACACCATTATTTACGGCATTATCCTGGACTGATCCTGAAATTTGGCCCACTCATCAGGCTATGGACTATGTGTTTTGAGAGCAAACATAGTTACTTCAAAAGATGTATAAGGCATCTGAAGAATTTCAAAAATCTGTGTTTGACTCTTTCAGAAAGGCATCAGATGTTACAGGCCTTTCTTTCCGCTGGGTCCTTGAGTCCTCCATCTTTGCAAATGAAAGATGGCTCACCATTTTACTCAGAGCTTTACAGTGAGCAAGTGAAAGGCACAATCCTCCATTTTGGCTTCACTGAAAGAAATACAAAAATTCCTGTTTATGTGCAGTATAATGGGATAATTTACAGGAAGGGCCAATTTGTTGTCACTAAGAATGATGATTCTGTGGAGTTTGGTGAAATCATCCTCATTCTCTTGAAAGATTATTTTGCACTTCATTTTCTGATGAGAGTGTATGATGGGGAATTTCTTTCACACTACCACATGTACTCTGTAAAAAAGGACAGTGGAAGATTAGAATGCAGACATGTTAGTGAACTGATTTACATGTGGCCTTTATCATATTACATAAACAATGGACACCAGATTGTCCCATTGAAGCACAGTCTCTTGTCACACTAAATCAGTAGGCCAGATGCTAACCTGTCTTTTTTGTGTGTCTTAACAGATATGGCTGAATCAAAGACCTTAAGTGATGCCATAGCAGCAGTGCTTCTGGATCTTCCTGATCAAGTTGTCAAGTCAGTAGAAGATGCTTTGGAGGCGCTTGGTGCAGTAACGACAGATGATTTACAGTACATTACAGAGGGAGACTTGCTGCCAGTATTAAAGCCCATACAAGTCAGAAGACTGGTTGCTGCCTGGGCCCAAAACAGTGAGTGTAAAATATTGTCACCACAGCACAGCACACACTGCACAAGTAATTAAATTTTATTTTATTTTTTATTTGATTTTTGTAATTCAATCGAAATGCAATCTGTCAAAAATAAATTTTGAATGTATTTTGCAGCCCTACTATCTAGAGGTGTGTCAATATGCTGCATTCTGTTACAGAGTAGAAAAACATTAAAGGTTTAATGATTTCAAACCTCTTTTGTTGTACTTTTACAGACTCGTCCACTCCAACTTCAGCCCCGGCATGTTCCTCTCCAGGGTCTCTCCTTTCCTCTCCCTCTCCGTCCTCCGTCACTCCCTCACCAGCATCATCCACAGCTACATCATCACCCTCAGGAAGTTCTTATACTCTTGCGCCAAATTGGGTAGACACTTTTCAGATACCATGGCAGAAGCTCCCTGAAGAGTTAGTACAGAGTTTGGAAAGACAGAAAAGGCCAAGTGCTTTACTACGACGTAATATGATAAGGATTGTTGTCTCCGAGATGATGAAGATTTGTAAGAGTCCAACCAAACACAACACCACAGAGATAGCAAAAAGGATGGTGGCCAGGTATCCAAAGTCTCTTCAAGATGTAATTGATGATGATGTTATTGGACTTGGATATCATTCCCTGGCAAAGCAACTCCAGGCAAGAGTTGAAAATGTCAAACAACCTAACACACCAAAGATAAAGAAACGCAAAGCTGCATCAGATGATGACACAGATGAAGTATGTGCTGAACAAAGAGCAAGTGTTCAAGACATGCATGGCTGTATCAACTGGATGCCGAAACATCTGCCACTCTCTGAGACTGTGGAGAGTCAGCTAGAAAAAAAAGAAAAAATGAAAAAATTTGAAGAGATGAACTACAGTTCAGATGCTTTGAAAGAATTGATCAAGTCCATCTATTTCACACAGCATAAAGAGATCAATAATGGTGTAAGCATCCAGAAATTAAGCCAGGAATGGCCATGTTTGTTTAAGGAAGTCAGTATGGCAGCACACTTCCAGGAACTGACTGGCGTAAGTATGATTGAGTCCTTCCTTGCCAATGTTGACACAAACGGGGCACGTCTCTTAAACGTCTTCAAATGTGTTGATGCACATAAACACAAACAAGTCCTGGATGCTCTTCTCAAGCTTCAAACTGAAAGAGGTCAGTCCACTGGTTGCTCAGAAGAGGTCATACAGATGGTGCTTCTTTTACTGGCTCATTTTGACGAGAAGAAAGAGCATCTGTTCCATTTCGTCGAGAAGACAATCCTTGCTGAGGAGGTTCAGATGGAGAGTGTGCCACCAACACCCTGCCTTATTGTGTGTGGTAAGTAAACTGAACCAAACCTTCAAGCTTTCTCTACTGGTATACAAACACCCACTTGTACTCTTGGCTTGTTTACTTTGTTGTTAGCTTGTAGCCCACTTTGAGACACTGGCTAACATTTTTCCTGATAACAAGTTCTGCCAACAGTAGATTGACTCTCATCCTATATTGAAATAAGTACCATTGAATTTCTATTTATGGCTGATATTGAAGCCCTTGTCATTAAAGTTTATTTTTTATTCATGTTGTTTATTCTTAGGGTCCTCCTGCTTTGCTGCTGAGACATTTATGTTGAGCATCGATAAAGAGGTTGTCAACGACCACATCACTTCCTTCACATCTGCCATCTGCCTGATGTTTGGCAGTTAGTACTGCTTCAACGTACACTACCCAGTGGAACTACGGTCTACACTGGAGTTCCTCCAACGGTAAAATATTATTTTTCTAAAATATGTTATAATATTAGAAAATGCAAGGCATTTGATATCCCTCCTGAAGTTGTTCTCTCTCTCTCTTCCTCTCTCTCTCTCTATCATAAAGGTGTTTCTTTTCAATAAATCCAGAGAAAGGCACCAAAGTCGAGTGGAACAAGAAGAAAAAAGTGTTCCCAGAGTCTTGACTCTGATCTCAGACCTTGCTGACCATGAGTGGACCTTCCAGGGATGTTGAGAGATGATATGATAAAAGGTACACTTAGTGTTATATACACTGCAGATATTGTGTTGGTAACATTTCTGAAAGTTTTACAAGATGTATAGTTTTACAAGATAAATTGTCTGGTACAGTTTGTACATGTTCAGCTTTACTGCACTGGTTTTGTACTGTAAACAAGTTGAGATAAACTTGCTTGTGATGGTAAGGTGTTTATGTCAAACACATTTTTTCATGATAACCCAAGTTGTCTCAAGCGGGTTTTATACCAGGATGTATTTTAAGTTGTGAAGCCATTGGGTTCTGCAAAAAAGAAGCGCCAGGTTTTGGCTGTGTACTTCTGAATTTCTGAAAGTCTTACCAGATGTATAGTTTAGATAAAATATCCGGTACAGTTTATACATGTTCAGCTTTACTGCACTGGCTTTGTACTGTATACAAGTTGAGATAAACTTGCTTGTGATGGTAAGGTGTTTATGTCAAACACATTTTTTCAGGAAAGCCCAAGTTGTCTTAAGCGGGTTTTATACCAGGATGTATTTTAAGTTGTGAACCCACTGGGTTCTGCAAAAAAGAAGTGCAAGGTTTTGGCTGTGTACTTCTGAATTTCTGAAAGTCTTACAAGATGTATAGTTTAGATAAAATATCTGGTACAGTTTGTACATGTTCAGCTTTACTGCGCTGGCTTTGTACTGTATACAAGTTGAGATACACTTGCTAGTTACGGGAATGTATACAATTCATATGCTTAAAGGAATAGTTCACTTTAACGTTAAATTCAGTCATTATCTAATTATATGTCTCCAAACTGCTCATCTGCTTTTTACCGCAGATCTCTAAAATCCTGAAAGCTGTCAGTGTTTTGTGGATTAAAAATCTTAAAAAAGTGAATTATTCCTTTAAGAAATACTTAAATAATGCATATTCATAACCAATTACTGTATGCACTAATGAAGGATGCATTTTGCAGAATTGTAGTTTCAGCTCAACTTAAATAGATCATCAATCAAGGATTGTTAGTTCACAGTTACTTCATATGCTAATTGATATTTGACAAGATTAGCTTGATTTTTTTTTTTTTCCTAGTATAAAAGTTTATGGACTCCTAAATTTCCCTTACAACTTTTAAGGGAATAGACCGAATAGTATTTTTGGACAGATTTGCAACACAGATATTTTTAAGATTAGCAGTGTGCCACAGGCCATGCCAATAATGGTCAACTGAGTGTAAAGGACACTTGTTCGCTAACAAAATAATACCATCAGGTGTCCAACAAATTCTATTAGGCATAATGCCATAAAGATTCAGGTGTTGCCCATGAACTTATATATTAAAGAAATCAAGCTGATCTTGTCAAATATCAATTAATATTAAGTATGTGTGAATTAATAATCCTTAGTTGATGATTTAAGTTTGAACAAATAAAGTAATAGTGACTTCATAATTAATTGTCCATCTGTCATTCAGTGCATGTAGTAATTCATCATGAATTATGCATTAATTAAGCATTCCTTACGTATATGACATATCTCTCAAGTCAAATGTTAACTTTTAAAAAATTTCTTGCAGTCATAGAGAAAGTATTTCTTAGATTTATGATGCAAGATTTGAAACTTTTGCTGCCCTTCAGGGATAATTTTATTTTGATACTATGAAAATAATACACTGTATGTACACAAATACCAGGTTAGATTTGTACCAAAAAGTGCATTTAAATGTTCTCAAATGAAGTGTAAAGGTTTCCTGCCAAATTTTTTACTCTGTTCAAATAAAGAGTTTCTATATTTGAAAATTTTAAGGTGGATATTTTTGTGGCTGATTTGGTAACATTTTTTCATGTAAATTTTCAGGTAAAACAATGTTTTTTTTTTAAATGTAAAATCTTTTTTTTTACGGTAAAATATCAAATTAAGCAAAATTTTTGACCGTAAAATCAACAGTATCAGTACATTTTTTTACTGTAAATGAGGAAAAATGTTTAACCGTAATTTAACGGTAGAGTTCTGGCAACCACAGCTGCCGGTATTTTACTGTTAAAAAAAAAAAAAAAAAAAAAAAAAAGTAAATTTTAAGATAAAACTATGTTTTTTTTAAATTTTGAAACTTTTTTTTAACGGTAAAATATTGAATTAAGCACATTGTTTAACTGTAAAATCAACAGTATTAATACATTTTTACCGTGAATGAAGGAAATGTTTTACCGTAATTTAACGGTAGAGTTTCGGCAACCACAGCTGCCGGAATTTTACCGTGAAAACAACAATTTCTTTTTTACAGTGTATATCATTAGCGCAATATCCTTTGTGAATAGGACGTTAAGACGGAGCAAACTGCTGGTGCATGTGAAGTGCAATTCAAGGTGCTATCAGTGGCCGCAGTTCATTCTTTGTCATTTCGGCCCTCAGAGCTTTCATGCATTTCCAAAAGTGGACCTTCTCTCAGTTGACCTACTGATGAAGATTTTAAGCAGGGTCGAGACATCGCTCTCATCCATAAGGTCACTGTGAGCGTTCATAATGGCCAAATGTGTTAGTCTCTCCTGCGTCATGGTGTTGTGCAGCCAGGTTTTCAGCCTGCGCAAGGCTGAGAAAGAGCGCTCGGATGCAGGGCAGGGCCAGACAGNGCCAGGTTTTCAGCCTGCGCAAGGCTGAGAAAGAGCGCTCGGATGCAGGGCAGGGCCAGACAGAGCTTAATGAGCTTCTCCACCTCCGACAGCATGGAGCGGGTTTGGGGCTGCAAGGTTTGCAGGATGGACACAACATCCTGGATGCCAAGGCTACTTACTGTATGTAGTCAGGCAGGCTGCATATCACATCAAAAGCATAGATCTATGCATTAATGATATGAAAGAGATAAATGTAAGTCAGACAAATTGAGTTTAAATTCAGATTCTTTATTTTTTTTAAAGCGTAATGCAGTGGGTAGGGAGGCTGGGGTGCGGGGGTGCGGATGGGAGGGGGTGCGGCCGCACCCCCCGCACCCCGAGTTCCAATGTCTATGGTTCTCGGTCAGAATGCGTCATTTGTGGTGAGAAGCTAGCTAATGACAGCATGAAGCCAAGCAAGCTGAAACGACACCAGGAGACCAAACACCACCAGACTATTGGTGAAAGTCGAGAATATTTTGAGAGGAAGAAGCAATTGGCACTATCAAGAAGATCCACAGACATCAGAAAAGCTTTTGAAAGAGCAGGTAGTGATTTACACAGATCTAGCGAGGCGTCATTTAATCAAACCCGCCTGCCTGAAAATTGTGGAGAGGCTATGTGGAGTGCAGGTTGTTGATAAACTGAAAACTGTCCCACTCTCGGACAACACCGTGAAAGACAGAATTGATAAAATGGCTGCGGATTGCCGCCAAAACCAGCTGTACAAGAAGCTGAGGAATGGTAACTTTGCCGTTCAGCTGGACGAAACGACAACAGTGTCAGACGAGTCCGTCCTCCTCGTTTATGTGCAGTATATTGATGCTGAGGATGGTCTACAAATCTAGCAACAACAACAACCAGACAGGATATATTTATGGCTGCGGACTCATATCTCTCATCCAACAATCTGCCCTATGAAAACCTGGGCCGCAGCAATGATGGGCAAAAATAAGGGGTTAAACAGCCACCTGAAGGAAAAAGCCCCATGGAGCGTGATTTTCCACTGCATGCTACATCGGCAAGCACTGGCAAGTGAAAAACTTTAAGAAGACCTTGGTAACACCCTGTCAACTTTTGTTAAAGTTGTAAACTTTATTAAAGCTTGCCCATCTAACAAGAGACTTTTTGCCCAGCTGTGCGAGGATGAAGCGCATCAAACACTGCTGCTACACACGGAGGTGTGGTGGTTGTCACGTGGACAAGTGCTTGTGCGTTTTATGGAACTGCAAGAAGAAAATAAAGGAATTCTTGCAAGATCACAATCAACCACTGTGTGAACAGCTGACTGATGCGTTATGCATCAAAACGGCATACCTGGCGGACACGCTCACGCTCTAGAATGAGACGAACAAGCGGATGCAGGGATCTGAATCAAACATCATGCAGTGCAAAGACGTCCTGGACGCTTTTGTGCGCAAACTTGATTACAGAGTAGAAAAAATGTCAAACTGGGATTTACAGCATTTTCCACTGCTGCTGAAACAGTCAGCTGGCCCTGTGCGTGCGAGTTTACCCGGCACCTGAACTTGCTCCGTGAGGAGTTTAAGAGCCGCTTCGCCGACATCGATGAGTACTTATCAAAGGAAGCGTGGGTGCTGGACCCCTACATTACCATCCTCAAGGACATGGAATACCTCGGCTGTGAAGATGAGCTTTGTGACCTTCAAGCTGATTCTGTGTCAAAAAAATATTTCCTGGGGTGTCGGTAGCGTAGTGGATAGATATAGAGGTGATGCCTCGCTGCAGTGGTCGCGAGTTCGACTCTGGCTTGCAACCCTTTGCTGCATACCTGATGAATTTCTTTACAATCCATTATACAGATCTTGTTATCAGTCACTTAATATAGTGAGGAATATCGTATCTTACCACGTCTTAGGCTTGCGTGTGTTTGTCCCTGTCTATCCACATTTGTAGTCCGGCTTTCAAGATGCAAATATCTCCATACTGTCCAGTTGAAACTTTGTTTGAGAAGACCAGTGCACTTCACCGTTGCACACACAGACAACTGAGGCCTAATTATGCATGCTGACAGGGCAGTAGTCACCATATACACTGAGGGGGACACGTTCCCCCCCAATGCCCAATTTTTTTTTTTACTGCAAACAAAGTGGCAAATATTATCTTGGAGGACATCATTGCACTTGGTTAACTATTTTTCTATGATCTTAGATGTAAATATTGCATGTTTCT